CAGAGCATCATGTTTCAACCAAATGCTGAACGTTCAGTCACAGTGACTGTAATACTTACATTCCTGTACCACCTAGCAGGATACAGTGTGCCTCCTATCAAGACAATGAAAGCAAGCATTTCACTAAACTTCCTCGATAATTCAAACCAAAACACAATTCAAAAATATTTAAACATTCACGTGTCAGAAATGGATTTCACTGAAGCCCGGTTTCCTCTGACCACGAGGGCATCATTCACTGTGGGACATAGGCTCAACTCTTCTCCCTACCCAGACAACTCCATGTCTTCCTCCCACACCCCCGAGGCCTAGTCTTTCCATGAGCTGCAGGGAAGGGAATGGCAGAGCTATTACTCCACTCCTAGCCATCCTCTCTAACTCCGTGGTGAATGAACCTCTGATCTCAGGAGTCTCAAACTGATAAATCTTTGTGGGGGTGGAATTAATCATCTAGGTTCATGGCCTGCTAGCCTCCTGTCATCACTTCTCTGCCCTCATCAAGGCTAACCTGCATGCTCTGCAGCTCTCACCACCTCCAGGAGTCCTTGTTTGCAGACTCCTAAGTACCAGTTAGATCCACAATCTTGAAGCATCCCTGGCTGCAGTGACTGAACAACTGAACTGGAGTTGGTGCAGAGCAAAGCTCATTTGCAGTAAAGGAGTCACCAGAAATTCACTTTAGAGCCCTGAGCCTTTTTTTGATTAAGAGACTCCTTTGCAACACTTGGTGACCTTCACTTCAAAATCATGACAACCTCGTGCTTGGAGAGTTGCAGCCATTGTTCCTTTGGTAAGAGATAAGAGATTAGCAAGAACCAGTTTCCCAGCTGCTTGGGTAGGGTTTTGGACACCTGTGAGAAAAGCCTCTCACTGAAGTTGGAGGCAACTTCTGCACCTTGAGAAGATTCTGGGCTAATCTGAATTGGCATTACATGCCATAAAGGATATAGTAAGGCAATATGAACCAGAAACCAAGCAGGCACAGTGGCACAGAGGGCTAAGCCATTGCTCAAGAAGCCCGTACCCCACATCAGAGTCACTCTGAGTCTCAGCTCCCTGATAACACACTTCGGAAGGCAGCAGGGATGGCCCAGAACAGGATGGAGTTCTTGGCTCACAGCTTTGGCCTGGCCCACACCTGGCTGTGGACACTTGGGGCATGAACCTGTGGATGGGGGAGGGAACCTTTCCTCTCTCTTTCCTCTCTGTAATATTCTTGCTCTCTGCCTTACAAATGTTTTTCTTTTCTTTTTTAATGAATCAGAGACATACATATTTTTAAGTAACTGATTCTGAAAAGCAACACCATCTGAGAACGGAAAGCACAACAAACCTCACAGGCATTTTATCCTGAAAATGCTAATAATCACTAAGGAGAGTATGCAAAGCACTTCAAAAAAGTTAAAAAAAAATGGAATGAAAAGGTAAGTTATTGTCATGCAACAACTATTTTTGGGAATCCATGCATACAGGGCAGGCATTTGCCACAGAGGTAAAGACACTGCTTGGGAGGCCTGTGTCCTGTAAGAAATGACGCAGCGTTAGCCCCGATGCACTCTGGATTCCAGCTTTGTGCTAAGTGCACCCTGGGAGCAAGCAGTGATGGCTCAAGTGCTTGGGTCTTTGGCAACCACAAGGGAAACTAAATCGAATTCTTGACTCCTGGCTATGGCCTGGTCCAGCCCTGACCATTGTGACTAGTAAGGGAGTAAACCAGTAGTTGGACAATCTCCCTGTCTCTCCCTCTGTGACTCTTTCAATAAATAAATAAATAAATCTGTTTTAAAAAAGAAAATTATAAACTGCTAATTTCTAGATGATAGAGATAGGATAGATAGGGTTGACAGAAGCCAAACGCCAGGAACTCTATCCTGGCCTCCCACATGGCTAGAAGGGAGCCAGGCACTTGGGCCACCATCTGCTGCTTTCCCAGGAATATTCTGAGGGAGCTGGATCTGGAAGTGGAACTGGCACTCTGTTATGGAATGCCAGCATTGCAAACAGAGGCTTAACTTGCCATACCACAACACTGGCTCCTCAAGCTCAAAAAAAATTTTTTTTAAGATTTATTTTTATTGGTAAGGCAGATTTACAGAGAGAAGGAGAAACAGAGAGAAAGATCTTCTCTCTATTGATTCACTTCCCAAGTAGCCACAATGACCAGAGCAAAAATCTGAAGCCAGGAGCCAGGAACTTCTTCCAGTTCTCCTACACGAGTGCAGCGTCCCAAGGCTTTGGGCCGTCCTCGACTGCTTTCTCAAGCCACAAGCAGGAGCTGGATGGGGAGTGGAGCAGCCAGGACACAAACCAGAGCCCCTATGGGATCCCTGCACATGCAAGGTGAGGATTTAGCCACTAGGTTATTGCATTGAGCCCTCAAGATCAAATTTTTAAGCCACCTTCTTCCAGAGTATTCTTGTCTAATTTTGATAATCCACTTGTAGAAGGGCCAAGGAAGATTTTGTTTTCTCTTGTACTTTTGGGCTGATCATCTCTTTGGTTAACTACCGAATATCACACGCTTCATTTCTAATCACTGCAAATTGCGTTTATCTCTGTAGTAAAGGGAACAGGGTTCAAAAGAAAGTGCTAGGGGCAGCACACAGCATCCCCTGCTAACTGTTCCACTCTCGTTCCAGCTCTGTTTCACTTGGGAAAGTGGCAGAGAATGGGGTCCAAGTCCTTGGGCTCCTGTTGCTGACACAGAGAGCCAGGCGGAGTCCTGGGTTCCTGGCCTTAGCCTGATTTAGCCCCAGCCACTGTGGCCATTGGGGAAGATGGGAAATCTGTCTCTCCCTCTTTCTTGTTCTGACTTTCAAATAAATAAATCTTTTTTTTTTAAAAAAAAGGTCCATGAGGGCCCGGCGCAGTGGCGCAAGTGGTTAAGGTCCTCGCCTAGCACGCCCGGGATCCCATATGGGCGCCGGTTCTAATCCCGGCAGCCCCGCTTCCCTTCCAGCTCCCTGCCTGTGGCCTGGGAAAGCAGTCGAGGACGGCCCAAGGCTTTGGGAACCTGCACCCACGTGGGAGACCCGGAAGAGGCTCCTGGCTTCGGATCGGCATAGCATCGGACCGTTGCGCTCACTTGGGGAGTGAAACATCGGATGGAAGATCTTCCTCTCTGTCTCTCCTCTCTGTATATCTGCCTTTCCAATGAAAAAATAATAAAAATAAATCTTAAAAAAAAAAAAAAAAAAGGTCCATGAGAACCTTTATGTCAAAGAGCTAAAAATCATTATGAGACAGGCCAGAATAAAGAGCAGCTAAGATATCAGGCCAGAGTAAGAGGGGAGAGGTGAGTAGGTGAGCAGCACCCTGACTACAGTGGGCACACCTTTGGGGTAGGCCTCCAAAGACCAAGCTGCTAGCTCCTCTTTAACATGTATGCTCTGGACTGGTCTAGCTCGTGTGGAAGCATGTTCTCATTTTTCCATCTTCCCTGAAGCAAATTTCTCTCTAATGTGGATAGTCTTTTGTGGTTCATTCCCAGAAGACCTAACTCCTGGCTAGCTGTCCACAGATGGCACTCATAAACTGTTAGCTACCAGGCCTGGCGCTGTGGCCTAGCACTAGAGTCCTCTCCTTGGACGTACCGGGATCCCATTTGGATGCAGGTTCATATCCAACTCCCTGCTTGTGGCCAGGGAAAGCAGTCGAGGATGGCCCACTGGCTTGGGACCCTGCACTTGTGCGGGAGACCTGGAAGAAGTTCCTGGCTCCTGGCTTTGGATCGGCGCAGCACCGGCCATTGTGGCCACTTGGGGAGTAAATCATTGGACGGAAGATCTTCCTCTCTGTCTCTCTTCCTCTTTCTACATATTTGACTTTGAAATAAAAATAAATAAATCTTTAAAAACTGTTAGCTACTGATCTGACATCTTTTCTACCTTCATTTTTTCTTTTCCAACAGAATCCTCATTTTTTCAGGGGCCAAGGGATACGGCATGGTGGCTCAAAACAATTTCTGATAGCCTTTTACTCTTGACAGTGACTGGTTCGGGATAGGGATACGACTCAGTATATGTTTGCATGTGTTATTTGGATTTCCCGGTCATGTTTACCAAATAGTGACCCCAAATTTCTGTTACATCTGTAACTATCCTACCTAATATTCCATCAAATCACACTGATTGCCAACTTTCATAACATAGTTTTGAAAATAATTTTGGAAGGCAAAGACATAGAAGAAACAAAGAAGGAAAGAAGAGAAAAAGGAAAAGACAGTTACCCTCCACCGGCCTGTTCACTGACAAATGCCCACAACATCCTGGGATGGAAGCCCAGAGCAGGAATCCAGCTCGCTATGTGACCACCACCTGCTGTGCGTTAGGATCAGGATCCAAGCCAGACTCAAATACAGACACTCCAATAGGAGATGACCTGCTGTGCCGAATACCTCGCCCGGTAATATTAACAGCCGTGCAACCCTTCCTTGAGTAACCTTTGAAGGACAGGCATCCTGCTACCACCAGGACAAGAAAATACGAGATTTGCTTTTACGTTATTTTCTCATCTTTCCAGTTCTCCTCTAAGCCACCGCAAAGAGGCAGCCCTTCACAACAGTACAAAGTTAAAAACTGGCCATGCGAACAACTATAGCAGAGCTCAAATTTTCCAACCCTAAATCCCCACACGCCAGCACACAGTGTCAGTTAACATGGGGGCAATTTCTGGTGCTGGAGCCGGTGCCAGGCGTGCGAGGAGGCATGAGGAGACCAACAGCTCTGCGAGGAGCCAGCCCCGGCCCGCCGAGGGGCCTGCAGCGGCCTGGGTGGGCGGCGGCCGCGACGCCCAAGGCCCGTCGAGGCGGAACCAACGTGGCCCACCGCAGCCAACTGCACTGCCGCCAACGAAGCCATCTCTTCGCACTCTGCCGCCCCGCGAGCCTCGTACGATTTTGGCGGCCTGTCAGCCCAGGGCTAGGCCGGCACACTCCGGCGGCCCAGCCACATGTCGAGGCCCACGGTGGAGCAACACGAGCCAGACCCACATTTCATTACCTACTCTGGCGAGTTCGGGATTCTCCCTGTCTTCTTGCTCTCGTTCTTCTCGGAAACATACCGTCAGCCAGGGGGTCACCCTAACGCTCCTCTCGGGTTGGTCAAAAGGTCCCGGAGCTCAGCCAGGAGACCCCGTCACAACGGAACCGGAAACATTTTTGCCCCGAAAAACCTCAGGGAAAAACTATACCTCAGAACAGCCTCGGGCAGGCGGGGCGTGAGCGGGCCTCGACTCGGCGTCCTATTGGTTCCGAGAAAAGAAAGACGGCCCCTCGGGAGCACGGCTTAGCCAATCAAGTGGCAGGGTGTGGCCGGCGCTGAGGCTGGCTTGCTTCCGGCTGCTTTCCCCGCGACTTCTGCGTGGGGGAGCATGGGAACGTGCGACGCTTGCAGTGGCCGTGGCTTTCGTTGTCCCGTCGCGCCACTGGGCGTCGCCTTCAGCTGTTGCTGCTACCGCAGGGCTAGCAGGAGGCTTTCACTAGTCCCAGAGCAGTGAGTGGGGCACACTTTTTGAGGCGAGGCCGAAGCGAAAAGCAATTTGCCTCAGGTCCTTCAAGAGACTGGGAGGACCAGGAGGACCCCGGGGATTTCGTGGACAAGCCTTGCAGCCCAACCGGCCTGCTTGAGGACTGTTTTTTCTTTGCATAGCTTTGCTTTTTCAGTCTCTGTGGGGACTCCCACTTCCACTCTCCCAAATGGCGTCTGTGCTGGCGACAGTGGATGCTCAGGTGAGATGAAGTACCCTTATTTTTTAAAATGCTCCTCCCTGACCAATTTGTTCCTTTCCAAACTCACTCGCTAGAAACGGAGCCTTTGGATGAGCCTGTAACACGGTGTCTGTCCTGAAGAGAATCCTAGGTTCACACCTGTTGAACAAGAGGATGATGCCCCGCTGGGTTCTGGGTCACATCCCCCTCTTCCGTTGATTTATAGGACCAGGCTGGGGAAGGAGTAGTGGGCTTGGCTGAACGCTGAGTGAATTCAGCGATGACTGTCATGGGGTGGGGTCGTAAGAATAGCAATAGCAAAGAACGGAATGTGAGAATCCCTTTAACTTCCATCTTTTTCAAGATTCTTCCTGAGTTGCCCAGTCTTCTCCATCCTTCCCTAAAGGGTTCCCACCACAGTGAGTGTCCCCTGGGCTTTTCTCCACCAGACTAGTCTCTGTGAATTCTCACAGTGCGCTGTGTTGATCTGTACACTGTTGCCCATCCCAGAACTAGGGAACCTTCTGCCTGAAACCCCTTTCTCCCTCGCATCTGCCGTTTGTAGCTGTCCCCGGTCTCGCTTGTTGCTAGAGGAACCAGCCTGCAAGCCTCTGGTAGTGCAATGAGCTCTCCTATTGTTTCAGGGGCCTGTGGTCTATGAAGATCTGGCTGTGTATTTTTCCCAAGAGGAGTGCGTGGGTCTGCTTTCTGCCCAGAGGGTCCTCGACAGAGGGGCCGCAGCCGAGCATGTCATTTTGAATGGTGAGGCATTTGGTTTTTCCTGTACTTTTCCAGCTTTGTCAGTTCTAAGGTAGTGGTTGGAGTAGAACCTGTCCCTGGGAAATTTGTCTGGATATGATGAGAACTTACATGAAAGGCAAGTTTTGAACGATTAGGTGATTTCTTAAAAGGTTTTAAAAAATCAATTTGGTACCGTGACTTTAACTTCATAAAAGATGTGGCATTACCTGGTAATCTTTTTAAATATTTGTTACTGTAAATTTCCTGTTTTACTTAGGAAACCTGGTTAATATAATCATTTGCTAGATATTGGGAGTTTCACTCTTAAGGTGTTCAATAGCTGTGCTGCCTAAGGAGACCCATGTGCAGCAGTTCTCTGAGTAGATTTTATCTCCAACTACTATTTAAGTATCTAAACTGTCCTGTAATTTGTATTTGTATCTTCCACTGGTTTGTCATGTTTTTGTTTTCTTTTACCTCCTTGAACATAGGGAAATATTTATAATAGCTTTTTTTTTTTAAAGATTTATTTTTATTATTTTTTCATTGGAAAGGCGGATATACAGAGAGGAGAGACAGAGAGGAAGATACTATAATAGCTTTTTAAAAAATATGCTCGCTGTGTGTTCCAGTTCTGCCTTTGTTTCTATTGATTGATTTTCCTCCTACATGTTGGTGATATTTTCTTCTTTCTGTGCTTGGTCATTTTTGACTGGATGTTAGTCACTGTGAATTTTATATTATTTGGAGCTGGATTGTCGCATGTTTAAAAGGGACTCTGGGCTTTAACCCAGCATGCAGTTAAAGTACTTGGGATTAGTCTGACCCTATCAAGCTTTGCTTTTTGGCTTTGTTAGGGTGGTTTTGATTAGCTTTTAATCTAAAGCTAATTTGGACTACTGCTAAGGCAATATTTTTCTGATAAGTTTGCTTGATGTCCTGTGAGAAACTATTCCCACTCAAAGACATGGGGCATAAACTCCTGTTGAGCTCTGGAAAATGTTCTGTGTATTACTTTTGCGTGGTTCTTTCTGTGGCCTTGGGTAGTAATCACATCACGTGCTTACTTGTTAGCACTCAGCAACTAAGTCTTAAGACACCATGGAGATGCCATGAGTTTTCTTTCTGGGAAGCAACCTCTTTGTATCTTTCTCTCACATTCTGGTTGTCTTGGCATCTTTGATCTGTGATATTAGAATTTCCTCAGATCAGTGGAATCACTGGGTCCTGTTTGGATTCCCATGTACTGTATTGCACCCCAGAAACCCTTGCCAGCCATTCAATTGAGACAATCATAAAAGTCTGTGAAAAGACTTCTTTTTCTTTTTTTTTTTTTTGGAAAAGACTCCTTTTATAATAACAAATTGGCTTTACACATGAAAAATGTAATTGTTCTTTGTATCCTTGGCAAATTGATCCTAGGATCCCCTCTTCTACCCTCTTACTCCCGCAGAATGCTCAAATCCTCAGATTCCCGTGTAGAAAATACTATAGTGTTTGCATATAACCCATACACACCCTTCTGTATACTCTAATCACATCTAGATTACTTAATATAAGTGCTATAAATTTTTTTTTACTGAATTGTTTAGGGATAATGACCCCAAAAAGGCCTATTCATGTTCAGGACAGATGCAGCCTTTTTCATATATTTTTAATCTACAATTGACTATAAAAACAGAGAACTGTGGATATGGAGAGCCAGCTTATTTGGGAAAATATTTTTAAAAAATGCTTTGGGGCAGGCTCAAATTTTGTCAGTCATTCTCGTGGTAAAACTGACTGTTATCTGCCTGCAGTACTATTGCACAGTAGCTACACCTTGATCATTCTTCGGTGAACAGTAAAGAAATTTTGGAAACTTCACTTGGTGAAAATAAAACAAATTTTTAGTAACCTGTGAACTTCTCTGATAAGGCAGGAAAACACTTGCCTGCTTTCTCTCTTGAGAAATATGAATTCCAGTCTCCATTCCAGCTGTGATTGTCCAGTTGCTACTTGAGACAGCTTGAATGATTAAAGGCTCTTGAGGTCTAAATACACTGACTGGGAAACTGGGCATCTGGGTGATCTCTCCCAAGACTGTTTTTCGTACCTATCCTACTGGGTCCTGACTCATGCACTCTGTTTCTTCCTCTTGCAGATTCACCTAGAATTAAATCTTTTCAGAATTCAGGCTCCTGATTTTGTATGTTTATCAGTATCTGGGTCATAATCCACTTACACTTTCTTGGGCCTCTGTGTGATTACCTTAGCTTGTACTGTCCCTTGTTATCACCTGAAGGTATTGTCTATGTTTTGCTTCATTTTGTTTTTATCAACAGGAGAGGAAGGCAAGACTGAGATTAATCAGCAGTTAAGCCTAGAGTCTCTGGAACTTGATGAGCTTGCCCTAGAAAATTACTCCATTGCTGCACCCCTTGTCTATTACCCAGAAAAATCCTCTGAGGATGGAGTTGGAAACTCTGAAAGGAAAGTGTCAGATGGAACCTCTGCTTGCGAGAAAAGATTCATAAGCCTTTTGGTTACCATTGAAAACCATACCCCATTAGTAGAATTATCTCAATGTTTAGGAATCAGACAACTTTCTGAAATCCTTGAATTTCCGTTGGAAGAAACCAAACTTGTGTACAAGTGTCCTGAATGTGACCAAAGCTTCAGTGATAATTCTTACCTTGCTTTACATCAGAAAATTCACACAGTAGAGAAAAAGCATAAATGTGTTGATTGTGGGAAGATCTTCAATCATAGAGCCAACTTGAGGACACACAGGAGAATCCATACTGGTGAGAAGCCTTACAAGTGTGCCAAGTGCGGTGCTAGCTTCCACAAGCAGCCACACCTGTCCCGGCATATGAATAGCCATGCACAGGAGAAACCCTATACTTGTGACAAATGTGGAAGAACTTTTATGTGGCTTCCAGGATTGGCACAGCATCAGAAAAGCCACAGTGCTGAGAAAGCCTATGAGTGTGCCAACTGTGATAAACATGTTCTTCAGAACACAAATCTTACTTTGCAAGAGAAAACACACCCATCAGCCACTCCATACCAGAACACTGAGTGTGTAAGCACTTTGGGGCAGGCCTCATGCTCTTCGCTCCCAGAGAAGGGCCCCAAGGAAGACTCTCAAAGCTGCAGCAATGATGATGAAAACTTTTTTTCTTTCTCAAAATTCAAACCCTTGCAATGTCTTGAGTGTGATATGACCTTTCCTTGTTTCTTTGAGCTTGTTTCCCATCAGAACATTCACGCGGTAGAAAAGCCCCATCAATGTAAAACATGTGCAGAAAACTTTACATCAGAGTCTGAACTTGCAAGCCACCAAAAGAGCCACACAACGGAGGGACCTCTTAAATGTACCACGTGTGGGAGAAGTTTCAGAATGAAAATGCATCTTGTTACTCATAGGCGAAGCCATAGAAGAAACACCAAATAAATATAACATGTTTTCCTTAACGTTTGAGCTTTTCAGTACACAGTTCCAGTTTATGTGCCAGGTGTTATGCTAAGCACTTTAAACATATTCCACATCACAGTCTACCACAGTCTTAGGCAGTATTCTGTCTGAGAGCTGAGGAAATATCATACAACTAGTGAAAGAAGCCAGTATTGAAAATAACATTCCATTTATATGAGCCAGAGAACAAAAATAACTTTTTCACTAAATTAAGTTTTCTTAGAAATGAAGGCTGTTACTCAAGCACTTCTCATTTTTGTATAGGTGGTTTCTAAGTAGATTTTTGAAGAAGGAGAATTTACTTTTTTTTAGCCAGTTCTGCAGATACAGTGTGTGAGAAAGTGAATTCTGTGTATGTTTTAGACGTTTTTGGTATAACTATTTGAACGTAATATTTGTATGACATTATTTCTTGTTTAACATGTGACTTTCTAATGGAGCCAGGAATCTTCTTTCTCCTCTCCCCTGTTCCATAAAAAGTTCCAAAATGAATGGACTAGTTGATAACTTTGATGGTTGTTAGTATCTGTGGAGTTCCGGTTCTCACATCTGATGTCAGGTGTGGTACTGGTATGTATAACTCAAATGTTTACAAGCAGGTTTAGTCATTTAATATAACTCTTTCCTGGAGGCTGGACTTGATTTAGGGATGGAGTAGGGAGGGAAGCTCATGACCAATCTTGCTAAAAGTGATTATACTTGTTTCTTACTTTCAACACTTATATGACCTAACTTAATCCTCAGAGTAAATCTGTGACATTGCTTCATGGCAGTGAGGAAACTGAGGACCTCTGAGGGAAGGGAGCATTTCACCCTGCACGTAAGAACTCACACTGTGGTAAAACTGTTTTTTAAGCTTGGGTGTCTCCAATTCCAAAGGCCACGATTCTGTTGGCACTCATGTCATGCATTACCATTGCAAGCAGCCAGGGGGTGCTCTGTGAACGTGCGTTCTGGAACGCTCTTGTTTCCTTTTCTCTATCCAAACCTCATTTAGTTGTTTCAAGGCATCAGAAGAATCCCCAAGACTGCAAGCTGGAACTCCCATTTCTGTCATACAAGCAAAGATTCCAAGTTCCGTCAAACACATCCTGAAGGTTTTAGTTGGATTTGTTTTTTTAAAAAATTGTAACGTTTTCTTTCCATCTCTAAAGAAAAATACATACAGGAAATCATTAGGTTTTTAATCAAAATGCTTGGTATTATAAAGTTCTATAGATATAGTTATTAGAGATAAGTACTGGAGCAAAATATGACTAATTCATATGGCTATTAATGTAAAAGAACCAGAGTATTATAAATATTCATTCATATAAGTCTCTCTTTAAACCCAAAGTTATTGTATACCTATCAGCAAACTAGTATTTATAAGAGCCTTAGGTATAAAAATGTGATTTAACTCTATTTAGACAATGCAAAAATATAGTATTTATTTTAGCTGGTCACATGACGGGGGTGTTACGAAAATACTCCTAAGAATGTGCTGTAATCCCTCGTTCTTCTGGATACCTCATAAGTATGTTCACTGAATGCACTTTTATTGTTTTTGTTTTTATTGTGCGCGGTACATTCTCAGGTTGTGTCCTGGATCGCAGGCTCCCAACAGGCAGTGACTGTCTATCTGATGTGTAATTTGGCATCTAATAAATGCTATTTTGTGTTGAAGGCAAGAAAGTAGACTTTTTTTTCTCTTTTAACACCAGCGGTTTTAGTTGACAATGATGGGATTTTGAAGAGTGTGGGATTGTGGTTTGGAGCGAGTGAATGAATGACATGGTGCCATACAACAAAGGAAGTAAGATGGCTTGTTCTCCTTTACGTGGCCGAAGGACAGCACTGGATGCCCGCAGCTCCAGCCCGCTGGGCAGGGCCGCTCGCGGCGGCAGCTGCTTCCGGTAAGGGGCGTGGCAACAGGACCCCCAGCAGGCTTTGCGCGGCCTGCGAGCCATCCTGGTCTCCCTTTTTGGTCACTGGCTGCACCCAGGCTAGCGGAAACGCCAACCAGACCGGATGCTGGGTGCTGGACTGTCACTTCCGATCCACCCCCACTTCCGATGGCGCCTGCGCACTCTTGGGCAGGTGCAGTGTGGCGATCCTTTCCTTGGGCATCCAGCCGCCACACTCAGCCGGCTTCTTGGCCCTGTTCAGCCATCTCCACGGAAGATAGTGCTGGTGAGAGCGTGTGCAATCGGCATGCCAGTGTCCCCACTCTGTGCCAGCCACAGGACCAACCTGAATCTCCTCCCCGATTCTCAGCCCTGACTTCGCAGCACTCCCAGTCTGGCCCGACTGCTGCTAGTGCGAACCTCTGCGTCTGCCTAGTGCGTCTCTGCCGTGTGTACTGTGTTGCTTTATGCCTCTTTATGGTTCGTCTTGGATGGACACCTTCGCGCCAGCGCCGGGTTATTCTCAGGCTTTTGGGGTTGGTTAGAGTGTGTCCTGTGAGCTCGCTATTAGTCTCGCCAATTGAGCTTGGCCACTGCTGTGGCTACCGCGACTACGTTCAATGGGAGCCTGAACTTCCCCTTTCCTTCGAGTTCCATATTGCCATGTACAGGTAAAGAGCCATCGCGCGTCACAACAGATACCCAGAGGGCCTTGGTGATTTGCGTTTCTACGTCATAGTCCCTGAGCTGACAACCTTCCTCTTCCAGCTTCTGGCTGATGTGGTGATGGCTCCAGTGACAGGTTCCTGCTACTCACTGGAGAGCCGGTTCGAGTCAGTGACCCCCGGATCCTGCCTCTTAGCCGGTGGATGGAAACTCTCTATGTATCTGGCTATTTCTGTCTCTCTGCTTTTCAAATGAAGCTAAAATTTTTTAAAAGATTAATTTATTTTTATTGGAAAGACATCTGATTTATGGAGAAAAGGAGAGACAGAAAGATCTTATATCTGCTGGTTCATTCCCTCATTGGCCACAGTGGCTGGAGCTGAGCTGATCTGAAGCCGGAAGCTTCTTCCAGGTCTCCCCCAGGGTGCAGGGTCCTAAGATTTTGGGCTGCCCTCTGCTGCCTTCCCAGTCCATAAGCAGGGAGGGGAACAGGAAGTAGAGCAGCCAGGATGGCTTCATGCTTAATTGTACCAAACACTGAAAGAAAAGTTAGTATTTATCCTTCTTAAGCTAATTTCCAAAATAAAAGTAGAGGGATTACTTTTAATTCATTTTATAAGTCCAGCATCACTCTCTTATCAAAAATGACAAGAATACAGTATGGCAAAAAAAAAAAAAAAAAAGCCCTATAGGCAAATATCATCAATCAGCAAGCATGCAGAAGCTCTCAGTGAAACACTGAAAATTAAAGCCAGCAACATGTTGGGAATACCGCTTTCTAAATCCAGGCGGGGTTTATCTCAGGGATGAAAGGCAGAGTTAATACATGCAAATCAATGTGACACATTAGCAGTGAAATATTAAAACCGCATGATCATCACTATAGATTGAGGGAAAGCATTTGATACAAAGTTATACATCATTTTATGATAACGATGGTGTAGAAGAAAATTTATGCAACACATTAAAGACTGCTAATGAATATCTTAACAGCTAACATCATAATCACTGGAAAGAAACAAAAGTTTTCAACAAAGATCTGGTGCAAAGCAAAAATACCTGCTTTCAACATTTGCTTTCAAAGGACAGACAACAAGGAGAAATTAAAGGCATCCCAATCAAAAAAGAAGTAAACTTACTATTGTTTGCAAATGACATGGGATCCCGGGCGTGCAAGGCAAGGACCTTAACTGGAAGAGCTCTTGGCTCCTGGCTTCGGATTGGCTCAGCACTGGCCGTTGCGGTCACCTGGGGAGTGAATCATTGGACGGAATATCTTCTGTCTCTCCTCCTTTCTGTATAATCTAACTTTCCAATAAAAATAAATCTTTTTAAATAAATGCATGATTCAGTGTTTAGTAAGTTTACAAGGTCGAATAACCATCACCACTAATTCCAGAACACGTTAATCACCTCAAAGGGAACCCAGTCCCCCTTTCCCACCCTCCCTGCCAAGCACTCATCTATGTCTATCAGTCTGCTCGTTCTGGGTGCTCAAACTAGTGACTTCACACAATACCAAGCACCAGTTTTCAAAGTTCATTCACAGTGTAACATATATTAGTGCCTCCTCCTCTTCAGTGCTGAATAATATTCCCCTGTATGGATAGACCACTTTACCTGTTCTCAGAGTCCTCCCCTATAAATCCATCCCAGCATAAAAGGGCCAAGCTGCGTGAAGTGATCTGAGAGGCAGCCATGTCTTGGGAAAGCTGGCCTAGAATTCTGTTCCTGGGCTACTCTTCCCACCATCAACAGCTGATCATCAGCCCCTCATCTCTCTCCACATCCAAATTGCTAGGGTTCCAGCAGATTCGGTAACAATCCCACACTTCCCACAGCTAACTTTCTGGACCCCTGAACCTCTGTGTGTCTGGAGAGGGAGCAACCTGCACCAGCTGGACCTGCTTCTAGCCCTGGCGCTGTCTGCTGCCATTGTGGTGCAACAAACTGCTTAAACCTTGAACTGGCACAGCTCCCTTCCCTCTAAGGTGGGGACACAAACAATTTCCAGGGTTGTTGTGGCAATCAAATGAGATTCTTTTACATAAAGACCTTGGTAATGGCTCTCACTTATAAAGTGGTTGATAAATATTAGTTTTCCTGGAGGGAAAATTTGTTTATACAAGGGTTTGAACAAAAGAGCTGCTCTAACAGAGTTTTTCAGGCTTTTCTATTAATAAAATAGGAGCCATGTGTGGTCAGGTAGTGGGCAGCCTATGGCGCTGGTGTAACTGGTGTGAATGGTGTTGCAAAGGAATGTCAAGTTATGTCATTGGCAATTAAAGTGACAGGTCACTCTGGTGTTTTGGCAGGTGATGGCTATCTTAAAGAGGCACACTACAACCATACAAATTTATACTGCAAGTGAATGGGAAAACAGTTGCAAATAATCTATTTAAGAAGGACTTGATTCCAGAATAAAGAATTCTTACAGCTCAGTCATTAATTAACAAGAATCAAATTAACAAAATGAGCAGAGATTTTGAATAGCTGTTTCTCCAAAGCTGATACACAAATGGCCAGTAAATACGTGATAAGATTCCAACTTCACCAGTCATGAGGGAAGTGAAAAATAATCAAAATCAAAGGTGCCACTTTATGTCACTTAGAGTAGCTAACATCAAGAGACAGTTAACAAGTAAGATGTGGAGAAAATGGACTGCCCCTCCACTGCTGTGGGCAATGCAGAAAAAAAAAAAGTACAATTCCTGTGGCAGTTAGGTTCTTCCTGAAAAAGTAAAACATAAAATCACTGTAAGATCCAGTAAGTCTGCCTTTAGGTATAGCTCAAGAGAACTGAACATATAAAACCTGTAGCCAGTGTTAACATCGTGATTCCCAATGGCCCAAACATGGAAGCAACCCAAAGGTCTATCAACAGATAAACAGATAATATGAGCTGGCCACACAGTGGAGGAAATCCATGATACATAGTACTGCATGGAAATGCCTTGCGGACACCATGCAGGGAGAGGACGGAGCTTGAGGATGCAGGAATGGGAAATGATGGTAGGGCTGTTGGAAATGCCCTCGGCTTAGTCTAAGTGAGAGCTGCACAACCCTGCATATTCTGTATTTATTCAATTAGACTTGAAGTGGATGAATGTTCCTGGCATGTAAAACACCTTAATAGAGCTATAAAACACTATTATTCCAGAAAACAGGGGAGAGTTTAACACTGTGGTATTATGCATAGTTACTGCTGATATTGGGTGAGTTAACTATACCATGGGACAGATTTTCCCAAGTCCTCATCTGTTGTCAATTAAAAACGCTTTTCTTGAAGATCTATGCTATTCAGACCCCTCTCATCCACCGGGGCTTCCTCTATCTCCCTGAAGCCACCTGGGGCTGAAGTCATGGCAGCTGACATGGTTAAGTGCAGCGTAAGGCCTAGGGAAGATGGCAGAACCTTCCAGGCTGTTCCACAGACAAAGGCTGCACATGACAGGAGAGGTTCTTTTCTTACAATGAGGTACTCCAAAAGGCAGCTGGTCAAATCAGTAGGCTGGTAGTTTGAAGCCAGGCCATCTGGTGGACCACACACTGGCAAAAGGGAACAGGGGAACCCTTTATCTGAATATAGCACCCTGGGGGCCTTCCTTCTGTCCACTGTGCCACTACTGGCCTGGAGCTGAACTTAAATCCAGGGAGGCAAGGCAGCGTCAGACTTGAAATCTTTCAGAAAAGGACAAAGAAGCAGTATGGCGATCTCATCACATTTATTCAATGTCTACAGTTGAACAGTTCATCATCCAAAGACACCAAGATTATATAGTTATTGATTTTGCAATCAGCAGGAGCAGAAACACACATACACCTACACACACGCACACACACAGGTTCTTTGAAATACACAGTTGAGCAAGCTTTGTAAATAGGGGAAGTAGAAACCCATATTCCTTCTCTTTGGGGAGAGGTCTTCTTTGGTGGACCAGGTTGACTGAAGATGAGCAAGTCTGGTGGCCATCGTACACCCCTCTCCCCCAAGGGAAGAAAAACACAACACATATCCACATCTTAAGCCCTGGAACTTGATACACTCCTTTCTGTAGCACATGGCCTTCACAGTGGGTAATTAGTTCAGGATCTTGAGACAGGAAGATCATCCCAGGCCTAAGAGGATTCTAATGATCCTCAGAAGAGGGAGACCAAAGGAGCAGAAACAGGCAAGCAGCTGATGTGATGAGCGGGGAGGGAAGACAGGCCCATAAGCCAAAGGACATGGGTGACCATCACACAGACTCGCTCGCAGAGTCTCCCAAGGGGAATCGAACAGCCTGGCTCTGGCAGAGCGAGGCTCATTCTGGACCTGTGCCCTCCAGACTCACACAGAAGTTTGTTTTAAGCCACCAACTTTCACAATCATCTGTTAAGTACCAACAGGAACTGACACAGACATGACCACGACTCGGAGGCATATATGCAACAGTGAAAGGTCTGGCCTAGAAAAACAGGATGGGGTACGGGCCTGGGGAACGGAATGAGAAATACAGAGGCCCTGACCAGTGGCTGCAGGCTAGAGCGAGGTACAGACAGGCTGTGTGCCGACGGGAAATCCCTCAGTGGGAGACCATGGGTGAAGGCCTCCAAGGCCATCACAGCTAGGAGGAAAGCCATTGGGCTTCAGTAAACCTCTGCCCCAAACACAGAAGCATCACTTTGCTTCCACTGACTCCCTGGGATCACAGAACTCAGCCCAAAATGGGTCCTTGGGGAAAACAGAAGGTGTCAACTATTCAATTACTGAACACTTGCCTCTTTTGGCTGGACGTGGGCTGAGGGCAAGGGCTACAATGATGGAGGCAAGGTTTTAGTCCTGACAGAGCTGGGGAGTACAGGGTGCTGTCCCCCAACCTCCGCACCACTGAAGCTAAGCCAGATGGTTGCTGGGGGCCTTCCTGGATACAAGGAGATACTTAATCTGCACAAGCCCACCCTCTGCCTTCTTGGAGGTCCCCAGGAACACTGCCTCCCTGGAGGCTCTGCTCTTCCCAGACTGTCTCTGAATGTTGCCAATGCCTCCTATGGGCAAGGCTGTGGCCAGACTGAATGCCTCTGCAGGAAGGCTGTCCCATGACCTAGGAAGCTGTGGGGTGTCATGGGCCAAGACACAAGCAGAGGTGCATGCAAAGGCCCACGAGTGTGCACTTGCAGACACGGGATGTGAGAGCACCCTGGGGTGACTGGCAGGGACCCAGGAGGTATGCCACCTGCTTGTCTTCACAGAAGGTAGAACCTGACTGGCCCAAAGCTGTCCCCACACCGAAAACTGAGCTGGCTTGCTCAGGGTGACTAAGTCTTCATTTGTATTCTTAGAGAACGAGGGAGTAGGGTTAGAGGATCTTCTGGGACTCTGACATTTCATATAAATATATTTTGTCATATTTTAAAACATCATTGAGGTAAAATTCAGGTATAATAAAGTTAACGCATTTCAAGGATTTTTAGTAAATCTACTGACATCTGCAACCATAATGCAATTTTAGGACATTTCATCCCCCCAGTTATTTTGTTATTTCTGAAACCAACAGCCTCAGGGAGAAGGGAGAACAGGGAGGACTCCCCTCTGTGTGTGCAGGGAGGTCTTGAGCCATGGTTTGCTTACTGCAGTAGCTTTTTCTACCTCTCAGGCCGGGAATGCAGCAACCACATGCCATTTTCTTTTTCCTCAGCCACGATTTTCTTTTTTCTTTTTCCCTTGGAACCCTTTCCTCACACCAGCACATACATCATCTCACGGAATTTATTCTTTGCCATGAACAGCAGGATGTCACAGAAAGTGTTTCTGCCTCAGGAACACGGCCTGGAACTCTGGTGGTTCACTGCATCGTCTGGAATGACAGGAAATGCATGACATATGCAGAATCTACCTTTTGATGGATTTTGGAAGATAAATAAAGCCTCAGAGGAGGAGCTGCCCAGGGGTCGTCCAGCTTCCCTCTCAGTAGCTTCTCCATACTTGCTTTCCACGGAGACTGCCATTCACCTGCCATGTCTTCATCTCACTACCATGTACCGTCGGGATCCATGTCAGCCCCTTCTAGGGCTCCTCCCCCGCCTCCCCCAGGGCCTCCTGCTGTCCTGAGTCACGCAGGTGAACTATGGTTCCCATGCAGGTGAGGGGAGGAGGAACACAGAGTCCTGCCTGGCAGCCGTTGGGCACAAGATGCTCCTCTCAGTCCCCGTGGTGGAGCCTGTGATGCTGGTGAAGGTTGGAGCTCTGGCGAAAGCTTTTCCCACATTGGCTGCACTGGTATGGCTTCTCCCCAGTATGGATTCTCTGGTGCAGCTTCAAGGTCGACTGCCGCCCGAAGCAGTTCCCACACTCTCCGCAGGTATAGGGCCTCTCTCCCGTGTGCACTCTCTTGTGTCTTTTCAGCTCTGAGTTCCATGTGAAGCTTTTCCCACAGTCATCGCATTTATAAGGTTTCTTGGCTGAGCGGGTTGGCTGGTGCCCGAGACGCTGCAAACGGCTGCCCAGGCTTCTTTTCCCACTTCTGCTTTTCTTCAGCTCCCTCAGTGGGTGGTTTTTGAGGGGGCTGCTCGTGTATTCCAGCTCCCTGCAATGTCTCTGGTAGTGAGCAAATGGTTTCTGAGCATGTGGAGAGCCAACCTGCCTCCGGGACAGCCGAGGCTCGCTCATGTTTGCCCCTCGTGGTTCTGGACTTGGCAGCCCGTTCCCCTTGGATCTGCCAGCTGACACTGCACATGGCTTTGCTCCTTTAACCGTTTCCTGCTGTGGGTTTTCCTTGTTGTCACTTCTCATTCTGGGGGCCTCTATAATTAGAAAGAATATGCTTCATTTTCTGGACTCAGAAGAAAGAATTGCAGCAAAACCATTATGGAATATATTGCAAGATTTCTTGAAGGGCAGCCTTGTAGTGGCGATTTGGGCTAGATCCCCGAGGTGCGGGCTCCCCGCACCCCACACGCCTGCAGAGTCAGTCTCCTGAGGTCAGGCCTGGAAATCTGCACAAGGATTGGACTACAAGGGTGATTCTGATTTCTATTAAAATTAGGAGCCAAGTTCTCCCACTACCTTACTCCTTCCTATCTTTAGGGAAAGATCTGGGAAAAAGAGGAAGAGGAAAAGGTAAATTCAACGTAACTGAGGGTCAATGAATGGATGGAAAGCAGCTCGTGTTGGAAGCGCACAAGCCCTTTTACAGTCCAGGACCTGAACTACTTCAACAAGTGGCCCTCACAGACACAGGCAGACGCTGACAGCCTCTTCTAGTAAAGGATAACAGATGCAGTAACTGTGGTGTTTTTCCCTTTTAAATTACCAAATGGACATTATATATGTTTAGAAACTGGACAGCAGACTAGACATGTACCCAAATCAGAAACTGCCCACTGTCTTACTGCCCAGACTGGAGATCCAAATGGAAACAGCTAGAATAGCCTGTTGCAAGCTGGAGGGCGTGGAACAGTGCTGTCCAATAGGGCTTCTGTGACTGGGAAGCCTCTGTGAGCTGTTCAATACGGCCGTAAGCAGCTGCATGCGATAATGTGCATTATGAGAACTTGAGATGTGGTAGGGAGGAACTGAATGCTGAATTTTACTTATTTTTAACTCAAATAAGCAGGATATACAATTATAGTAAGTTGATTCTGGCCAATATTTGCAAGACAATTTTGTGGAGAATGTAAGCTAAATATTTGTGGTCTTGGATATGATTTTAGGCCAATGGTATTTTACAAATGACACCAAAAGCACAAACACCTAGAACGGAAAAGAAAAAAAAAAGACAGATAAGTGAGATTGTTTAAAAACTTTTGTGCCTCAAAAGACACTGTTAAGAAAGTGAAGAGAAGCCATAGAATGGGAAAGGGGAGCTGCAAATCATATCTGTATATGCACACACGCACACACATATATATGAACCTAATATTCAGAAAATACAATCAATTCTTTTTTCCACATCCCCACTCCCAGAAAATACAATGAATTCTTATTACTCAATCAGAGACAAGTAACTCAATTTTTAAATGGGCAAAGGATCTGAATTCTAGACATTTACCCAAACACATTGTGCACAACTGGCCAATAAACACAGAAAAAGCTGTTCAACACCATTAGTCTAGGAAGTGCAAATTAAAAGCACAAAAGGGACTCTGGCACAAAGACTCAGTGTCTAAACCTTTACCTTGCAAGTGTTGTAATCCCATATGGGCACCAGTTCATATCCCATCTGCTCCCTTCCCATTCAGCTCCCTGCCTGTGGTTGGGAAAGCAGTAGAGGATGACCTAAAACGTTGCAACCTTGAACCCATGTGGGAAACCTGGAGGAGGATCTTGACTCCTAGCTTCCGACTGACTCAGCTCTGGCTGTTGTAGCCATTTAGGGAGTGAACCAGCAGATGGAAGATCTCTCTGTCCTTTCCACAAATCTGATCTGACTTTCTAACAAAAATAAATATATCTTGTGGGGGAAAAAAGGCACAAAAGGATACCTCTTCATCTTCATACTTAATAAAATGACGAATAAAACAGACTGCTACCAAGTGCTGACAATTATAGCTGGTGGAAAAACTGGAATCTTCATACTCTGTTGGGAATCTGAAAGGGTAGTTGCTTCGGAGGACTACCTGGTAGCTCCTCACAAAACTTAGCCACCATATCATTATGTAGTTTCACTCCTCGTGAGAAGCAAAAAAGTACATCCACACAAAAATAGGTACAAAAGTGTTCGTAACAGTATTACAGATGATTCTTTACTTAACAATATTTTAGCCTTATGATATATTCACTAGGACCCGTACTTTGAGTTTTTGATATTTTCCTGGGCTAGGGCTACAATGCCACCTCACAATGCTGGGCAGTGAGTAAGCCAAAGGTACGATTCAGTCGCATCATTATTTGTTTTTCTTTTTAAATTTTATTGTTATTGGAAAGTCAGTATATTTTTCTTAAAGATTTATTTCTTTTTATTGGAAAGACAGAGAAAGATCTCCCATCTGCTGGCTCATTTCCTAAATAGCCACAGCGGCCAGAGCGGAGCTGAGCTGATCTAAAACCAGGAGCCAGGAACCCTGCTCCGGTCATCCACACAGGTTCAGGGTCCCAAGGAGTTGGATGGAAAGTGGAGCAGCCTGGACACAAACCAGTGCCCACATGGGGTCCTGGCACTTGTAGGTATTGGATTAGCCAATTGCGCCATTGTGCCAGCCCCTCGGCTACATTAATCATCAGGTTAAGTATACTTACACTTACGTACTATGTATAAGTACACCTTTGTGGTAAATATACTGTGTACCAGCATGTATTTTTTAATATGTATTTATGTGAAAGAGAAAGACAGACAGACATAGAGATCTTCCACTTGCTGCTTTACTCCTGCACAAAATGGCCACAGTGGATGGAGCTGGGCCAGGCCAAGGCCAGGAGCCACGAGCTCCATTTGTGTCTCCCAAATAAACGTGCCAGTGGTTTTTGGATACGTTTTGTGTTTTCTCATCCCATCATGTCTTATATAATTTAGATGAGATAGTCAATACTTTATTATATTATTTCTCTATTTTTATTGGAAAGTCAGATCAAAAGAGAGAAAGAAAGACAGAGGGAAAGATCTTCCATCTGGTTCATTTCCCAAATGGCTGCAATGGCTGGAGCTGAACTGATTCAAAGCCAAGAGCTTCCTCTGGGTCTCCCTACAAGTTTAGAGTCCCAAGGCTTTGGGCCATCCTCTACTGTTTTCCCAGGCCACAAGCAGGGAAGCTGGATGGGAAGTGGAGCACCTGAGACATGAACTGGTGCCCATATGGGATCCCACTGCACACAAAGCAAGGACTTCAGCCACTACTAGGCTACTGCACTGGGCCCTCAACACTTTATTATAAAATGGGCTCTGTATTAGATGATTTTGTCCAGGGCCCAATGTGGTAGCCTAGGAGCTAAAGTTCTTGCTTTGCATGCCCTAGGATCCTATATGGGCGCTGGTTCTAATTTGGGCAGCCCCACTACCCATCCAGCTCCCTGCTTGTGGCCTGGAAAAGCAGTCGAGGATGGCCCAAAGTCCTGGGACCCTGCAGCTGCATGGGAGACCCAAAAGAGGGTCCTGGCTTTGGCTTTGGATCGGCTCAGCTCTGACCAGTGCAGCCACTTGGGGAGAGACTCAGCGGACAGATCTTCCTATCTCTCCTCCTATCTGAATGTCAGACACTGCAATAAAAATAAAAGATGATTGGGCCCGGCGCGGTGGTGCAAGTGGTTCCCTGCCTGTGGCCTGGGAAAGCAGTCGAGGACAGCCCAAAGCTTTGAGAACCTGCACCCGCATGGGAGACCCAGAAGAGGCTCCTGGCTTCGGATCGGCATGGCATCAGCCATTGCGCTCACTTGGGGAGTGAATCATCTGACGGAAGATCTTCCTCTCTGTCTTTCCTCTCTGTATATCCGCCTTTCCAATGAAAAAATAATAAAAATAAATCTTTATAAAAATAAATAAATAAATAAATAAAAATAAAAATAAAAATAAAAGATGATTTTGTCCAACTCTAGGCTAATCTAAGCCTTCTAAATAGGACTGGTATTGTGGCCCAAAGCTTCTGCTTTTGATGACAGCATCCTTTATTAGAATGTAGGTTTGAGTTCCACGTCCTCCCCTTCAGATCGGCTCAGTTCCAGCATTAAAGCCACCTGGGTGGGAGTGAACCAGAGAATGAGAGAACTTTCTCTGTCCTTCCTCTCTGTAAATCTGCCTTTCCAATCAAAATAAATACATCTTTTTAAAATACTTGTTTGTTTTGATTGGAAAGGCAGATTTACAGAGAGAAAGACAAAGATCTTCTATCTTCTAATTCACTGGATCTGAGCTGATGGAAGCAAGGTTCTAGTTACATAAAATGCTCACAAGAAGCAAACGCAGCGCAGAAAGCAGGCTAGCAGCTGATGGGTCTGGGGGATGGAGATTCGGGGGCTGCTAATGGTGGGTCTGTCTGAGGGCACGACAATGTTTCAGAAGTAGTGGTAATGGCTGCACAACCTTGGGAGGGTACAAAAAGCACTAACCGTACACCCCAAAAGGGTGAATTTCACAATGTGTGACATATACTTCAATGGGTAAACTTTGAAAAGTCACAGGAGGCCAGCGGCCACTGTACTGAACACAGCAGCTCTGCAGGACTTCACGGGGGCCCTTGGGGCAGAGACCACACAGGTCTACCTCTTGGGAATCCAATCGAAGAAGGGAGCCGCAGAGGCAGCTAAGGCAAGAGAAGTGAATGTGTGGTGGAGAGGAAGGGAGCTATTTCCTTCAGGACATAGACAGCCAAAGCAACCTGCTTATCTACTGAATGTTCCACATCTTCCGTGTTTTGTGTGTTCTCAGACTACTATCAAAGTATAAAGTACTGTTTATGTTCCCCTCAAATGCACTGCTGAAACTCCCACAGGGATGGCGTCCTGAGGTCCTGAGGGCTCTGCACAGGTAAGTATGAGCTTCTGGCCCCTTCTGCCGTGTGAGGGTACAGAATCGGGCCCTCACTGCCACCCAGCCACAATGGCACCTTCATCTCAGACTCTGCAGCCTGCACAACTATGAGAAATCAATATTATTTATAAGCTACTCTTTCTAATGTTTTATTATAGCCGCTTCAAGAGACTAAAATCCAAGGAATTTGTTGAATATAGTAAGTGTTAAGGAAACAAGGCCCTGGTGTTCTTGTAATCTTCCTCTCCTATATTTCTATCACCAGACTGGGCCGCAGTGTCCCTGTGCTGCAGTATCAGAGCTCACAGGGGGACGAGCTGCACTGGCACTGTGCCGCAGGCAGGGAACCAGACACCAGGCACAGGCCTGAACCCCAAGCGTCCCAGAGGAGGAAGAAGAGAGACTATGGAGTGGGGTTTTTCTTCCATCAGCAAAACATTCTGAACAACAGACTATGCTGGGTAAGGAAACTCAGCCCAGGCCTGTGCGAAAGCTCACCAACTGCCACAACGGCATCTCTCTTTACTAGAAATAGCTCTGAAAGAGCCAGAAAAGTTCTAGAACATTCCTTTAATGAACTGGATTACTAAACACTCACTGCTAGAAAGTGACCCAAACATACTTGTTACTTATAGACCATCACTCTCCTTACTGCCGTTTCCAAGGGAACAACTGTCATCACACGGGACGTTGAATACACACGTGTGCACGCTGCGCTTTGGCAGATACAGGCAGAAGAGTCGCACAATAGTTACCTGTCCCGGTCGGCTTGGGGGCTGGCTGCTGGAGGAGTGGGGATTTCTCCCAGGGGTGGGGACTGAGCTGGTCAGGACCTCCTGCCGGGGAAGGCTCCTCCAGAGACTCTTCCCTGAGGTCTCTTCGCAGAGTGTGCAGTTGAAAGTCAGGCAGCTCCTGTTCAAGTTGAGATCCAGTTTTCTCCAGCAGAACTTTCTGCCCCTGCATGCAGACTGCCACCTAGGAACAAGCCCCATGCATTAACGCTCCATCCTTAGCGACCCCTCTGACGCCACCCAGGGGAAGCAAAGGAAAGGGCACGTGGGACGAAAAGCATGAGGGTGCTTCAAACCAGCCAATGTTCTCCAAGTGGGTGTCCAAGTCTGGCCTTATCCCACGTTCTGGGGTCAAAGGTGTCAGAATTAGGGTCACTCATGACGCTGCCCCAGCAGATTCCCAACCCCCATCCCATCTCCCCTCCATACTTCTGTTGGAAACAGGGCCCATAAGCATGGGAAGTAGTACAGTGAGGGGCCATTCTTATTTATTAAATGGTCTGCCAGGGGTCTTCAGTAGAAGTGGCCCAAAAGCACAGCCCACTTCTGTTCCCTAATGGTTTCTATTTTCTAAAGCCCTGCACTTGTTTGCTGCCTGCACGAACCCCAACTGGGATCTGACTTGGGGACTAAGTGAGCTGTAATTTCGGAGCAAAAGGGAATATGGCCAGAGGTGTGTCACTGAAGAAGGTTCAGGGAGGTTTCCCCAATACTAAACTTTTTTTCCCTAACAGGATGACATTGCCCACGAGTTCTGACTGTAAGAGAATTCCCAGAGGGATGGGTGGAGGAAAATCTGCCAGCAGACTCAAACACCTTAGGACTACTTCTGAGGACAGAAGGCCCAGAACAGAAGGGGCAGACCGCGGGTGCTCTACTTCCTCAACGGATGCCAGAAGCCAAGTTTCCTGGCAATCTGGTAACTCTTTGCAGACGGTTCCCAGAAAGGGGCGAGAAGCACAGTCTACCTGCTGCGCCTGTCTGAGGATCCAGAGACCAAACACGATGGACAGAACATGCCAGGACTAAGGGACAGAGCCGGCCCCTTACCCACTGTTTCGGCTTCTTGGCGGCCCTCTGGAAGTCCTCCACCAGCCTCACCATCTCCTTGCCACTCGCGGGGCGCCGATGCCTGACCCGGGCCTGGATCTCCGGGGGCAGGATGACCAGGAACTGCTCCATGACCAGCAGCTCCAGGATCTGCTCCTTGGTGCGCAGCTCGGGCTGCAGCCACTGCCGGCACAGCAGGTGCAGGCGGGCCAGCGCCTCGTGGGGCCCAGACACCTCTTGGTAACAGAAGCGCCGGAAGCTCTGGCGGGAGAGCTCGGGGTCCGGGCAAGGTTCAGGGAGAGTGGCTTCCCGTTTCTCTTCTGGCTTCGTTATTATGTGTCTCTCCTGCTTGGAGGCCTCAGGGTTGGAGCTCAGGGTGATTTCCATCTTAGCTGCCATGGTGTGGTTCAGGACACAACTCCCCTCGAACTCGAGTCAAACTTTCGGGAGCCTGTCCCTGAAGAACCCTCTCTCTAAATACGGTGCGGCCGGGGGAGATGGGTGGGAGCCAGTCCTCACTGACCGGCTTTCACTCCACGCTCGGGAGCACGGGCCCTGGGAAGGGGGTCGTGTCAGCGGCCTCGTGCACCATCTCGCAAAGAGGGAAAAGCCATAACGTCCGGAGGAGACGCCAGGAGTTCTTTCACTTCAGGGCCGAGCCCACAGGACCTCAGACGAAGCGGGCTGGCACAAGTGCATGTTGTCTGACAGGAAGCCTGCACCAGCGCTCCCGCCTCGGACCGAAACTGGCCTGGAGCATCGCGCCGGGACCTCGACGGCGGAGCCCGGGAAGGCCACACCGCGGCGGGTATCTCAGCTGGCAATCCCCGGGGCGGGAACAGGGCGGGCGCCCAAGGCCGCCTCAGCAAAGCTGACGTGACGTGGCGCACAATCGTCCGGCGCCTGCGACACTTCCATGCCGGGCGGCACGGCAGCTCCCACCTGCAGCCCACTCACCTCTCGGGGGACCCAGGACCCGGAACCGGGGAGCCAGGGCTGGGGCGGGGGCGGAGCCCCCCGTCGCGGAGACGCCCACGACCGCAGAGGAACTGACCGCGAAGAGCCCGCCTCCTGCCGCAAGGGATTGGCTCCTCCCGACAGCTTCCTTTGTTCATTGGCTCCTGGGTCTGCTTGCAGCTTCGCAGTGCATCGCGGTAGCTGTAGTGCGGCAGCGCGGCTTTCGCGCGTCAGGCGTGCTCGGCGGATTTCCTGCCGGCTGTTGAGGAATGTTGCGCGATTTCACCTGTTGCAGAGTCGTTGGCTTCTTCGGACCTAGAGGGGTCCGCAGTGGGGGCCCTCGTCAGTCAGGGAGTCCCTGGCCACCGTCTTCTTAAGGCGTCTCCGTGGGCTGGGCGGCCTGCCCACGGCCGGCGGGGCGCCGTGTGGTACATTAGTGTCCAGCCGGACAACGTACAGGACGTGCAACACGATAATAAAAGTTTACGTTTTAAAAAACTTTAAGCTGCCTAGAGGGAGTATATCGCCACCCTCGTACACTTTAAAGAGGGTGCTGCTTTGTCCGTTGTATCTGCTTTCATCTGTATTTGAACGGTGTGCCGGTGACCTAGAGGGTTAACTAAAGCATATACACACGTGTGCACACACAAAAGCACTCTCAAGCGCAGGTGGCAGTTCCCTGGATTGCTGGAACCTGTGTTTGGTGGTGGACAGAAACAAGCTGTAAAAGAATAAATTCAGTTTCAGACGTGCGCTTGCAGGCAAGTGAGTAGGTGACCTGGTAAAGCCTGGGGAGGGGAGGCCACAGAAAGGCAAGAGCTCTCCCCGGGGGCCTGACACCTGAGCAGTCAGCGAGCCAGTGGTGGGACAGAGGTCTGTCACATCATGCCAGGCCGTGGATGCTGAAGAGGATCTAGGTTGTATTCTGTGGGCGGGAGAAGCCACCGAGCTGCTGTACCAGGGAAGGAGAGGGTCTTGCATTCTGAAGAGATCTCATTGGATTCCATGCAGAAAAGAAGAGCTTTCTTTAAAAAAAAAAAAAAATATATATATATATATATAGCTCTGTACTGGGGTTGGGCAGAGAGAGAAATATAAAAGGGAGTATGTGTCTGCATCAATATTTATCTTAAATCTGTATCATCTCCTAGCCCTGTATACAGACATGTTGAGGGAGCCACTCAGCCCACAGTAACGGCCACACAGGATGCCCAGGATGTGGCTTCTAAGTGCCACTTCTGTCCAAGGAGAACCAAGGCGGCCTGGTGCAAGCATAGCTAGAGAGCCTGGAACATCTGGTGATGCCAGAACATTGAGAAATGCTACAAGGATATGGGAACAAAATTTAAAGGCATGAAAGTCAGCTTAAAGGGATTCCCACTAACCAAATAGGGATAAGTTACTACACTAATAACAAGTTCTAAACTATTGGTTAATACAGGAAACCTTAGGGCCCGGTATGGTAGCCTAGTGGCTAAAGTCCTCACCTTGCAGGCACCAGGATCTCATATAGGCGCTGGTTCTAATCCCAGCAGCCCTGCTTCCCATCCAGCTCCCTGCTTGTGGCCTGGGAAAGCAGTCAAGGACAGCCCAAAGCCTTGGGAACCTGCACACATGTGGGAGACTCAGAAGAAGCTCCTGGCTCTTGGCTTTGGATTGGCTCAGCTCTGGTCATTGTTTAGCTACTTGGGTAGTGAAATCAGCGGATGGAAGATCTTTCTCTCTCTCCTCTTCTCTGTAAACCTGACTTTCTAATAAAAATAAATTCGGGCCCAGCGCCGTGGCCTAGCAGCTAAAGTCCTCACCTTGAATGTGCCGCGATCCCATATGGGCACCAGTTCTGATCCAGGCAGTTCTGCTTCCCAGCTTCCCATCCAGCTCCCTCTTGTGGCCTGGGAAGGCAGTACAAGACAGCCCAAAGCCTTGGGACCCTGCACCCATGTGGGAGACCTGGAAGAAGTTCCTGGCTCCTGGCTTCAGATTGGTTCAGCACTGGTCATTGTGGTCACTTGGGGAGTGAATCATGGGATGCAAGATCTTCCTCTCTGTCTCTCCTCCTCTCTCTATACCTGACTTTGCAATAAAAAGAAAATAAATCTTTAATAGAATAAAATAAATCCATAAAAAATTAATATAGGACACCTTAATTCTATAAGGTAGAAATAAATGAAAGAAAAGTTGACAAGATATTTTCATGGTTTGAAAGCACTGCTTCATAAAACACTAATCACAAGGCAGAGAAGAAAGGCAGTCTGGTCCACCGCTTTCATTTGGTGACAAAGTAACATCATTAATGATGCAATTCACTGAGATGCACACCTGTTAGATCCCAGCAAGAATACAAGGTCACTTCTGTCACTTCTGAGACAGTCCTACGGGAGACGGGCTGTGACAACGTCACTTCTGAGACAGTCCTATGGGAAACGGGCTAATACAAGGTCACTTCTGAGACAGTCCTACGGGAGACGGGGAGACAGGCTGTGGCTAAGCATGAGGAGGCAGGAACTCTAGGTGAAGCGATTTCTGCAAAGTGAGTGGCTGACAACTTTGAAAGTGTCATTAAATCAGGAAAGCGACGAGGGGTCATCTCAGAGTCCTGAGAAGCCAAGGGAAGAGTCTGGGTAGAATGCTTCTGCCGTGGAAGACGCTGCTGAACTGTTGGTCCCGCAGGTCTGTGGGCTGCAGAGCTAATATACTAGTGCTCACTTCCTAGTTTTTTGTTTTAAGATTTATATATTTTTGGGCCCACACAATAGCATAGTGGTTAAAGTCTTTGCTTTGCATGCACCAGGATCCCATATAGTCACTGGTTCTAATCCCAGCAGCCCTGCTTCCTGCCCAGCTCCCTGGTTGTGGCCTGGGAAAGCAGTCGAGGACGGGCCAAAGCCTTGGGACCCTGTACCCACGTGAGAGAATTGGAAGAGCTCCTGGCTCCTGGCTTCAGATTGGCTCAGCTCCAGCCATTGCGGTCACTTGGGGAGTGAACCATCAGACAGAAGATCTTCCTCTCTGTCTCTCCTCCTCTCTGTATATCTGACTTTGCAATAAAAATAAATAAATCTTTTTAAAAATGGGTGCAATAACAGCATTAGCCTCGAAGGTTGTTGTAAAGATGAAGCAAATTCATTCACCTAAAGCCAACTGCCAAGCCTGTTTCTGCCTGAGGTGTCTGTTTAAACAGATAAATAATGGTGGCTTGTGAATGCCAGAAATTGGCCTTAGAAAACCAGCAAAGCTGCAGAGAAACCTGTGCGCCCTGGCCAGCAAGAGCGGGAAGGGCGTTGGGGAGTGAATCCATCAGGGCACAGGGAGGGGCTCCGGGCCCAGGGCGCCTCCTGGTTAAGGCAGCAGTGAGACTGCTTTTCAGGGCAGTGCTTTCCCTCTTCCAGATTTCAGCCAAGTCATGGTTGGCAGCTGAGCCTCCCGTTACTCCCTCCTGAAGACAAAATCAAGCCATTAAGCAAGCTTCTTCAGAAACTGCGCTCCCACCAGATGCACAACCCGCTGGAGCAGCTGCCCAGTCCCCCAGCCTCCTTCAAGGCCTACTAAGCAGGGCGTAGTCCGTGAGACTCAGAACTCTGCTGCCTCCTCATCTACCAACAGATCCAACTTCCTCTCTTTCCTTTACCCTCAAAACGTGTCCTCATTATTTTGATTTGGTATCAGAGTTTGAGTTTTTGGTAGCACTTTCTGTAAGCTTCAGGGACACGGGCTCTGTGGTGCTCCTGAGATGCGGGCTGAGTACACTGATCACCAAGCCTTGCGATCTGTAGGGTTTCTGACTTGGACTCACCAGGGTGATGCTGGCAACTGCCTCATCCTGGAGAAGTGGACTGTATCGCAGACTAAAAAACTGGGGAAAAAAAAAAAGAGTCATGATTTTGAATGACCTTGAAACATTGCAGGGGTGTTCAGGGGATAAGGTTGAGGACAGGACAGCAAGATGAGATTTTTTTGGAAGGAATTATGGAAATATAGAAAGGGGGAAATGTATCATTGTTTGGACATGGCTACCCAGAGAGACAGGGCAAAGGATAACCCAGGCTGGCAAAATAAAGATGGTCCATTTGATAAATCTAGTTCCTAGCATAAAAACACAGGACTTATAAAGTCACTTAACGCAGCATACTAAAATGAGCTCCACGGGTGCCAGGATATGTTTCGATGCTGAGGAACAGAAAGCCAACAACCCTTTTGAAAGTGACGCCGAGGTCTGCTGCTTTCCTTTCTCTGGCGGCATAGCTTCTCATCTGGGGAAACAGTTATGAACTGTGGTGGCAGAAGGAAACTCCTTCGTCAACTCTCGCAAGGCACAGGAGCACACGGCATTCTGCTTTCCACACAGGAGTTGTGGAGTGCGTCACTGTGAGCTGGCCGGCTTGCTGCCTTCCAGGGATCTGAGGGTCAAGCCTGGATCCCAGGACAGAGCTCATGCTCTCTGGCTAGCTGATCTGTCTTTGGCCACAAACAAGAGCATTCCCATACTAAAACACTCAAATGCTATGTGCCAAACTGATGCTTAGGATGTTTAGGTAGGATGACGCAGACTACAGCAAAGAATGCTTTCGGGTAGAATGAAATTTAAAATGACCTGTCCTATTTTTTGCTTCACTAAATATGAAATCAGGCAGAAGGGAAACTGGAATGAGACCTAGGGATCAGATAAACAAGATGACGGAAAATCCAGATGACAAGCATGGGTAGAAAGAGTATTAGAGGAGAGAAAGGGATGGAATTCAGAGATGAAATATTTTTAATGAAATTAATCATATGTAGCTTGATTTGATGTGTTTAGCAACATGATATAAGAAAGTGAATGTAGAGGTATTTTCCTTAGAAGAGAACAGGATTTTGCAGGAGTGAACATGTGGCGAGCAGATTCACTGCAGGATCCGCAGCAGGACAGTGACCTGGCAGGTTCTGCTGACACACATCTGTGCCATTTGCTACAGCCAGAGAAGAATCTTTTGTAATTGAGTACAGAACATCAGAAATAACACCAACTGCATTTCAACAGCTAGAGTTGTCAAGAGAAAGCCTTGTTTTTTATCAGTGTTAGGACTCCTTACACTCTTCTAGGCAGAAAAATAACGAGGGAAACAAATGAATAGAGATAAAGCAGCAAAAAACGATGGAGGAATTTTCTCATATCAAGTGCCTCCTCGTCCTCTCCTCAGAAGCCTTCTCAGAGCCCCCTTTACTTCCTTGTTCCTCAGCGTGTAGATGAGAGGATTCACCATGGGTGTAACCACTGAGTAGAAGAGGGAAATGAATTTGCCCTGGTCCTGGTTGCTGTTCTTGGCCGGAAGCAGGTACCCGTAGATGGCCGAGCCGTAGAAAAGAAACACCACCGCCAGGTGGGACAGGCACGTGTTCCAGGCCTTTCTCTGTCCCTCGGCCGAGCGGATCCTCAGCACGGCCTGGGCGATGCGGCAGTAAGAGATCACAATGACGCTCAGTGGGATGGCCGTGAAGAAGGTGCAGACGCCATTGAGCACGGCCTCATGGAGCTTCGTGTCTCCACAGGCCAGTTTGATCATGGCAGGCACCTCACATAGGAAGTTGTCCACGCTCCGGTGCCCACAGAATGGAAGCTGCAGAGTGAATGTTGACTGGATCACCGAGTTGCCCAAGCCCCCCAGCCAGGCAGCAGCAGCCAGAAGCCAGCAGCGCTGAGGACTCATGGTGATGCTGTAGTGCAGGGGCTGACAAATGGCAACGTAGCGGTCCAAAGCCATGACCACAAGCAGGATGCACTCAGTAGCCCCTAGCCAAAGGAAAACATACAGCTGGGTCACACAGCCGCCGTAGCTGATGGTCTTGTCTGGTCCCCATAAATTGAAAAGCATTTGGGGGACTGAGCTGGTGGTAAAAGCAAGGTCTAGGGAAGAGAGATTGCTGAGGAAGAAGTACATGGGAGAATGGAGCCGGGCATCAAGGCAGGAAAGCAGAATGATGCTTGAATTCCCAATGAGAGTCAGCAGATAGGAGAAGAGAATGACAACAAAAAAGGTCATCTCAAGCTGGGGATGGCCAGAAATGCCCAGCAGGATGAAACCCCCACGAGACTCGTTGCCCGCTCCTTCCATCATTGGTTGGCTTCAGTCTCCTGGAGAAAACTATTGGGAGAGAACACAGGGTGGCTGAGGCCGGGCACCAGCCGTTCTCGGGTTACAGGGGCCAGCGCCAAGTCACCCATGTGATCGTCTGATCGCAGACTTTGACAGCCCGGACGCCTGCAGCTCATACAATAAATGGAAATGGTTCCCTCGGAACATCAAACATAGAAACTGAGGGACAGGCTTCATGAGAACAGAAAAATACTAGGGCTTTCCAGTTCAGAACAACGATTACAACAGGATCGGAGTTGACCAGTAGAATCTTAAGTGGAAATTCTCAAAACAGATTCCCCCAGCCGACACTTTGATAGCTCAGAGCAGGCAGGAGCAGACATGCTGTGTGGGGAAGTCTCTGAGAAATCTCCAATTTTCTTTCCTCCCTCTCACATAACTCCGCTTACAAGTCAAAGCTCTTGATCTAGGAATAAGTGTGAAAAAGACACCATGAGTCTAGAGAATTACTGAAAAGAGTGGAAAATGTGAGCATAGATATTCACCAACTACAGAAGATTCGAATATGGCTGGAAGTAAAGAAGACAAACTGGGCGTGGCGCCATAGTGTAGCAGTTAAAGTCCTCGCCTTGAACGTGCCAGGACCCCATATGGGCACCGGTTCTAATCCCGGCGGCCCCACTTTCCATCCAGCTCCCTGTTTGTGGCCTGGGAAAGCAACTGAGGACAGCCCAAAGCTTTATGGGTAAGAGAAAGGCTGCTGAGAAAAGCTTAGCGGTCAGTGCCAGGCCAGCTTGACTCGCGGCCTGAGCTGGGCAGACACCTCAGAAGCTGACACTGCTGTAACCTCCCGTTTGTGTCCGGTAGCTCATTTGCTCTGCGGGCTGTTTTCTGCCTCGATGGGTCTCTTCCTTTGGTTCCCGGCTCCCTCAAGATCTGAGAGTAGGAGAACGAACCCTACTTGTGTTTCAAAATGAGCCTGGAGAAGACAGTGCTGGACTCCGAGACCTAGCGAGGACATGCCGCGCAGTGAGGCCGAGGAGCGGCAGCCGACAGTGGATGACTGTCTGGGGACAGTAGGACTTTCGGGACTCACTCCCAGGAGGTGTGGGCGGCTCTCACCTCTGCCCACCTGTGAATCTGAAAGTCCAGAGTGTTGAGACAAGCAGCCCCTGCTTGGAACCTTGGTGCTGTAACTGCTCACTTCTGCCCACTTTTTCTCCAATTTCTGCTTTCAACTTTACAGCTATTGGCCACTGTGGATTAGCCACGAGGAATCCACCAGTTTGAACTAGCTTTCTCCTGTCACATTAAGCTACTGCCCTGCACCAGAGAGAAGTGTGTGTTCTATAAGAATTCATTGAAAGGCGGAAGTTTGTAAGAATCCAAGCCTTGCTTTAGCATTAGCCTGGCTACAAAAAGCAAACAGAATTATGACAGACAGGCAAGGCACTGAGGCCCCGTGGATTAAGCTGCCTGTTGGGGCACCTACACCCTATATCAAGGCACCTAGAGGCAGTGCTGAATTCTTACAGAACACACACAGACGTCTGGAAGCCGTGGGGGTGACAACTCAGTAGCAATCTTTGTGATAAGAGAAAAGCCAAAATGACAGAGTCCTGGTGGTCAACCCACCCGATTGTTCCCTGATCTGCCAGACATTTGTAAACGAATGTGGAGGAACAGATTTTTTTTTTTTTGAGAAATAAATTCTAAGATGAATGGTCAAGAGGTTAGACTTGTGTCAAAGTAAGTGGTTAAAGGAAGGATGCAGTTCCTGCCAGCTGACACCTCCACTGCTGCGGTGGGATTTTAAAGCTCTGCTCACCGAGGAGGTACTGTCTTTGTCTACAAAAACAAAGAGTAAAATTTATAAAAAGCAGGAGAAACTGTGAATGGGCATTGTAAGATTTCAGCACAACAAAATGCTGGTAAATTCTTTGGCAAGAGAGAAAAAAAGGTGAATTTTTTTCTCCACAAGCACCGCACAACACAAGTTGAATTCAAAAAGCTTGTGGAGAGCCTGGTGGTGTGGCCTAGCGGCTAAAGTCCTCGCCTTGACCGTGCCGGGATCCCATATGGGCGCCAGTTCTAATCCCAGCAGCTCTACTTCCCACCCAGCTCCCTGCTTGTGGCCTGGGGAAGCAGTGGAGGACAGCCCAAAGCCTTGGGACCCTGCACCCATGTGGGAGACCTGGAGGAAGTTCCTGGCTTCTGGCTTTGGATTGGCTTAGCTCCAGCTGTAGTGGTCACTTGGGGAGTGAATCATTGGGTGGAAGATCTTCCTCTCTGTCTCTGCTCTCTGTATATCTGACTTCGCAATAAAAATAAATAAATCTTTAAAAAAACACACTTCCCAGCTTTTTCCTGTGCCGTTCAGAACATAACTTTTCTGAGGATTCTGGTGCTGTTGGTTTACAACTTGCCTTTGCAGTTCAATGCTTCTCCCTGTCTCTTCTTGCTGTTGGGAGAAGTCATGACGCCGTGTGCATGCGCACATCGGCCCGGCAGCTCTACACCTTGCCCTCCGCAGCCTCATTCCTGCAACAAGAATCTCAGGCAGTGCCTTTAACACCCCCTTTCTCTCTCCCTCCCCAGGAACTGCCCTTCCTTCTCCCTCTTTGCTTCGTCTCCAAGCTCTAAGTTCTCCAATAATGGAAGGTTAGAGAATATTTCTAGAACTATACCTTGATTGAGGATTCCCCCTTGCCTCTGTCCAGTTGTGCCTGCTGCTTGGTAGGTCAAGGACAGAGAGCAAGCATCTCTGCGTTCCTCCTGCTGCCCAGAAGCGGCAGCCCTGAGCTTTGTATCCTGGGGCTGGCCCTGGCACCCTGCCCAGCCTGGGCTGGCCTCCTGCAGGACCTGTCTCTGGCTGATTCTGCTGAGCCCAAGAGGGGTGTGGTGCAATCTTTGCCCGCCCTGTCCCATTCTAAGGGAATTGCTGGTCTAGGAGGGAAGGGGGAGAGAACGCCGCAGGGCATCCCTCTTCTTCCTCCACTAATTGTTTCTGCTGCATCCTGATTCTACATGTGCTACCCCGTCATCTTATCCACCCTCCCAGATGGGTTATGCTTTCTTGTTTGGTCGGTTTTCCTGCTTCACAGTTCTGATAGGCAAGCAAGCAAGATATGCACAATAAATGGCTGAGGGGACAAAGGATGGCAACAGAAAAGATGACCACTGTCTGGCTCTACTGTGACCCATGTCCTTCTTATAGGAGCTGGGTCTCTTCTACTCTGGGCAGTTACATGTCACCCAGCTCTCCCCTCAATCAACACATCAAGACGCACCATATTCTGTTCCTTCCATATTTGGAGTTTCCTACAATTAGAATCATATAATACATGGTCTTTTGTGGGTAGCTCCTTTCACTGAGTATATTTTCAAGGCTTATCCACATCATTAATATGCTTCATTCCTTTTTGTTACATTTATTTCTTTGTTTATTAAAAAAAAAACCTTTGCTGAATACACATTCTACTTAGTTTATATAAAACATATTCCCAGTAAGAAACTGCATTAGAAAGATTTCAGCTCTGAAGATTCACAACCTGGTTTGGAAACAAATGTATGATAAATGATATCATTATTGCAAATGCTACTAAACGATACAGAAACACCGATCAGACCCATCTAGGATCCATTTGTCTTCTGGCTGGAAGGGAAAGAAGAAGTGGGAAGTGTATGGTAAATGTGTGACTGTTGTATCTTGGCGAGGCTGCACCTTTTACCTGGCTCAGTGATCTAAGTCAGTTACTTAACCTCAGGAAGCCTGAGCTGATCTGTAGATTTAGAGTTGTCACAGAGAACTTGGCATACAAATCCACCATTTTATCTGCAAGTACAAGAATTTGTAATTCAGACAGGCTTAAATCATAAACACCACGACTCACGGAACTGGAAGCCTGGAGAGAGGAAGACTTCAGGGCTGAGCCAGTGCTGGAGCAGTGGCTGGGCCGTCCTGCGCGCTGCCCTCCTCCTGGAGGGTTCTGATGCACTTTCAGGCAGTGAGAGCGCCACGGCTGCAGCAGCTCCAGGTCTCGCACAGGTACGGGACCATCTTGGCAGGAAGATGGAATGAGGACGACTCATGGATTGAGCACTTTTCCCAGACGTTCTTGCACGTTTTTCCTCAGAGGATGTTGACCCATGCTGGTTTAAATACTGATTCCTGAGAGAAGACTAACAAAAAAGATGGGGAGACACAACTAAGCCTATAGTTGGAAGAATGGGAAATATGTGAAAAATCATGTTTAGATGGAGGAAATGAGGAAAATGGATGCTGTGCCCTGTAGCTGACAGTAGTGGCAAGTCAGTAAGTGGCAGCCATGCCTTTTCCCACTTTTGTAGGATGTGGCATCTCATTCGCTTCATGAGAATGGTTCAGTTGACTTTGTGCAATAAAATTTTCACCAATGAGAAAAGGGACAGAGCTCATCAATCTCACAGATTTTTGCTTATGATAATCCAATTCCTTTCTGATAGCTGTAAGTGAAAGAGTATTTTGGGTTGAGTTGTACTTTAAAACCGCGGAGGTACAAAGAAGAATTTGACTTTGAGTTGGTCAAGGCTGAGAAGACATGAGCAAGTGCATTCAGGTGCTGGAGTACACAGTTTAGACACTAGTCTGAGTTCTCTGATGCAATTCAGAGAAGCTGACTCTGCTGGTTTGAGTAGAAAGAAAACATTTGGAAGGATATGTAGTAATTTGCTCTCCAAAGGAAGTCTGGATTATAGAAGATGCAGGGGGCCAAGGAGCTGAGAGAGCAACCGGCCTCCATAGCACCGCCCTGAACATGGCACGCAGCTGAGGTGAGCCAGGGATTCAGGTCACTGCCGATCCTGTTGGAAGGAATTTCAGGAGGCCACAGGGACCTCAGCTGCTATAATCGTAAGGAGTGTTAGAAGAGGAATTTCAGGCAAGAAGTCTGGGGACACTGCAGGAGGAAATAAAAATTGTCCCTGTGCCCCACTGTACCACTAACTACATAGGGAATGTAGAAGGGAAAACAGGGATCGAATGGGGAGAGGAAGCA